CAAGACTTACAATCTTTTTACTTTATTTTTGCTTCATCCCCTCGGTTTACTTTTGTTATGTCAATTTTCGTCACTCCTTCTAGTACTTCTACTACCAACCGCCTCCCAGCCATTACGACAGCTGGAATCGTCATTGCCTTTATTGCAGGGATTGGATTATTCGTTTTTCTTCTGGTTGTTTATGTCCGTCGAAAAAGGGGTAAAAAGTCAGATGTCGAGAAAAACGTTGGTGCTCCCATGATGGCCCAACGTGTCAGAACCTCGGATTTCAAGTACGTCTTCAAATTTACGAGCATATTCTTATTAAAGTTATAACTTTGGATTAGATCTACTGGGAAGCCCAAACTTGTCTCCAGAACAAATTTCACATCGTCGATCACCCTTCCACTCCATGCTTTGGCCCCTCTACCTCCAAAGCCGGCTGCCAAACAGCCCTCGAAACCCACGTTTCCTCATGGACTAGCTGTAGACATTGTGGCTGCCGATTTCGATTATTCACCTTTCTCAACCGCGCCCTTCAGTCCGTCCTCTGAGCATGGAGGCAGTAGTATATGGACTGCCCGGACCTCTATCATTGAACCCCTGCACCGAAAATTAAGTCGAGCCTCGTCAGGGAAGAAATCAGCAAGGACGATTGATACGGCTCTATCATCCTCTCCAGCAGGCAAAGAGGGTATTAATTTGCTCGAGGTTCGCCATATCTTCACTCCTGCAAGTCCAGACAAGCTGGTTCTTCGCATTGGGGAGTCGCTTATCCGATCCTTCGAAGATGGGTGGTGTTCAGTCAGCCGTAAATCTCCATTCGAGTCCGAACTGCAACCAGGCCTCGCGAAGCCTTCCAACTCTGCGGACGCAGAAAACATCGAGATTGGCGTGGTTCCCATGTGGGTGTTTGGAAAGCATATAACCGAAGAGAATTCCAGGCCGCCCAGGACAGCAAGTATGAGAGTTACCCTGCTCTCTGATGTGGAAGAACAGGAGGACGCGTAGAATGTACACCGAAGACCGCGCGCAACCCCTCCATTATTCCAAGACTTCGAACTTAAATCACCGGATACCAAACAGTCGTTCTTTCAACAAACTATTTATTATCTTCCGCTATTTATTGCCGTCTAATGACGAGAACGTCTTATTCAAATCTGCCAAATTACCTCCTTCCATCCGCAAGATGAAAGGCATTCAATTAATTGATGTCCACAATGCCAGTGTCGAACAGCCATTAGGCAGGAATCAATTCTTAATCGCTGGACGCATTTACATCCGTTGTCATCTCCTTCATGTATGCTGATTTGCTTCCAATATTTCTTTCTTTCAGCTTGACGCATTTTTACAAAGTTTTTGTGCCCTTCTTGAACTTCTGATTTTCTAATCTGTATTACTTGACAGATATGTGTGCTCCATATTGGGCCACATTGTGTACTTCTCTATTACGACACACAACCTCTTGTTTGTCATAGAAGTGCACTGCGTCTTCTCCCATTGACGAATATAGCAAGGCTATTGTCCTATACTTAGCTCCTTCATGCGGGTTTCCACCTTTTAACCTAATACTAGGTTCTAAAAGGCTATCATGTCAGGGATGAGAGAGATTCCTGAGATTCCACCGTAGTACCAAGGAAGGACATAAAATGATTATGACCGAGGTCGATCCGCATCTTGATGTCAGCCTCGGTCAGGGATAAAGAGAACCTTGATTTAAGGGATAATGCGACGTTGACCGGGACACCTGATGTCCACAGTTGAACCTGGCCATGTAGAAGAATCAATTTGGAAGATCATGAAGGGTCCTACTAGAGCCTAATCACTACTCAAATTAATTGGCCATGAGCGAGCTCTACATTGTACTTACATAAGATGAGAGTACCGTCTAGGGAATCCAAGGCTTCAAAAGGCTATAGTTAAAGACTGACATAATTCATTAAATTTCCAGACCGACGACAGAGCCCTTTCCACATGTGTGGCTTTTATTTTGGAATAATAGTCCTGAAAAAAGGTACTAAATAACGAAGTTACATTGACAAGAACGCAGACTCCGTGAACAGAATTTTTACCCACGGGAACTCATACCGCTCTGACCGATATAGTATGTATTTTCTTTTTCAAACAACGCTTCGCATAGTGGTACAGCTCAGTTTTTTCCGTTTGTATCATATTATCTCATACACAGTATTCCTATATAATTGGTGATATCTCGCCGAGATCTGACTCAGTCATTATATTTCGCAACGCCGTTGTACGTGTTGGACAGCTCCGGGATTTCAATGCCCTGTTGCTTCCAGATCTCAATTTGTCTATCCTTCGCCTTCTTGCCCGTCTTTTGCTCATATTCGGCAACGGATAATGGTCTTTCGCCATGTGGTGTGGCGCGGAGGGCATGTCGACGAGAAGGCCAGAAGTCAAAGATCGCAGAATGAGTGGTGACCCTGTTATCCCAAACGGCAATATCGTTCCTTTCCCATTTGAATCGGACTTGGAAATCTGGACTCTCACTGATTTGACGGAAAAGGAATTGAAGAACCGCGTCAGATTCGGCTTTGGGAAGTCCAACGATACGACGGGTGAAACCTATGCGGAAGGATCGACGATTAATCAGTGGACGAGAATGATGGATATATTTTACACACCAGGGTTAACGAAAACGCTCTTCCAGCCTGTGACCGGATGAACTCGGACAACTAAAACCAACAGTTAAAAACCTCGATTGAAATCGGACGGAACAAGGAATTTACCTGGGTGAATTGTCTCAACCGGTTCGCGACGAACATGCAGGCCAGAGTTACGGGCACCTTCTGCTTGTGCTACGGCACTGTGCACAGCACTCAAGCCTTCAAGATACTTTTGGAAACCGGGCGACAGAGACGAGTATAAACCGTATCTGATAACAAATAAGAGCATCAGAAACTACATCCAGCGTCGAATGCTATAAGGAAGATCTCACCCAGAGCTCCAAATCGTGTCACCACCAACTTCTGGCGAGACGAGAAGTTTGAAAGAGGTAATACTTGGAGGCTGCATTTCAAAGGTTACGTCACTGTGGAACAGTTCACCCTTCGAGAAAGCCGTGCTGTCTGGACGCCTGCTGGCCGAGTCATAATAAACAACTGGAAAATGACAGTTAAAAAAGGCGATTTTGAGATATTTGTTAGACAATGTGCGTACTATGAACTTCTTCCAATCCAGGTTCTCTTGGTACGGGCGTAGTCGGGTGTTTGTGAAGAGGACCATAGTATCGTGCAAGCTCTAGCTGTTCGTGAATGTTGATTTCTTGGTTACGGAAGACTGAGCATGACGTTAGCGATAGTCTTAAGTCATTTTAAATATCTTCTTACAGACGACGCTGCGCTCAGCGGCCAGGAGAGCACTATTATAAACTAAGTTAGTGCTAGACAACAGAGATATGTTCCAAAATACCTACAGTTCATCCTTTTGCTGATCAGAAAGTTGTCTCAAGTCAAGGCCATGTATTTCAACGCCGATGTTGGGTGTCAATTGTTTGACTTTGGTGGCGGCAGAAAGAAGAGCCTTCTTCTCAGGGTCGGCAGCTAAGCCTCGTTCAGTGATGGGTTGTTCCTTGAGAGGCTCCCAGTTCACTTTAGGGAAGGAAGGCTAGCGATGACAATCAGGTACTGATATATACCGAGCAAACAACGACACAGATTAACCTTGTATTTGGCATATTCATATGATTCATCGCCGTCCTCATCTCCTCCAGGACTATAGAATGGGTTCGCCAATTGGGCCGCCTCCTGTTTAAAAAACTGCTTTTGTTCTTCAACATGATTGCCGTTGTTTGAAGTGAGAGCGATAGGGGTCATTGTGTGTAGAGGTGAATGGTTCAATTTCAAAGAGGGTTGCCATTATAAGTGACCATGGCCAGTACAATGGGCGATTGCGCAATTTCGAGGGAAAGTGACAGTATGACGCCTTCGATAACGAATTTTTTACCCACACCGTCACAAGATGTACTTCCCTTAATCATATGAACAGTCTGGAGTCGAAACCTGAAATAAACTTAAAGCTGCTTGGTTATACCGGATAGGTCGATGTGAAGTCGCAAGTTGGTCGCAAGGATGGTGTCACCGAATTTGCTTCCGGCACGACCCATTTGCACGAATATTCTTCTGTAGAAATCAGTTACCTAGATGCTTGGAATTATACTACAGAAAGGATGCACGTTGCACGTAAGTTAACTATTGTTAATGGTAATCGAACGCCGGATGACAGGCATGTCAGTACGTGCAATGCGCTTAAGGAAATACAATCCAGACTTTGAAGGTCGGATGCGCAAATGAGAAAAAAATAGCGAAGGACAGAGAATAGGACACAAGACACCCTCTAATATCCTCTGCTCATCGATGGATGAGGGGCTGCATAACTTAGTTAGCTTGAATGTTGAACGCTGAAGCTTTTTCTTCAGCGACGCCTTTGGTTATTTTTGTCAGGAATTTGTCCAAAGATTATCATGTTCAATGGAATAATAAAAAAGTCCTCCGAATTGACGAGGTAGAAATAGATGAAATGGTGAGGAAGATACAGTTCAAGTTGAAAAAGAGTCGGCTAAGAGTGTGACCCTATACATCTCCGCGATCCCAATAATTGGTCTCATCTCAGAACCTGGTCCCCTTCGCATCCACTTATATAACGCACTTTATTCCGAACTTTAACTGTGAATTCACTGAGAAGGAGAAGTTTTTGGGATTCCTGGCCACCACCCACACCGAAATCACGAAACTGTTGCTTTTTTTCGGTTCAAGAACTTTGACCCATATTATTTGCGATTGAAGCAATTCAATGGATGAGGAGATTTACTGGTGAGCTAATAACAAACAGACTCGTTACGGTAATACCAGTGACCACAGATCTATACCTATAGTGGATTCTCGTTTAACTTCGATAGTAAAAGAATTGGACAGAGCCAGCGTCGAGTTAAAAAGAGTCGATAAAGGAGAAAGTTAAGGAATTAAATAATACGTAGCGGGCCTCACCTAAAGCCTCTGTGCACTGGGGTGGGGTAGTGGCAACCTACATGTTTCCCAAGCATGCGCGCCGGGTTCGATTTCTAGTCCTAGTGTATTTTAACTAATGTTGGGGATCCCAAAGCATTGATACTCAATACGGATGATACCATTTTCTGTAATGTGTAATCTTTGGATTAGTTGTATTATGAGTGATGAAAGCAGGACTTAACACGAAGGAAAGGAAAGAAAAACGACCTGCTGGTGTGGCAATAAATGATCCCCTGAGCATAATGGCAAATGCAAACACTCAAAAGCCAAAGACACTATAAATCACTTATACCCCAACACTGGGTACATTGATGTTGTAAGAAGGTCACCGGGGACGAGTGACTTCGCCCCCAAGCTCAAAGGTTCCATGAGGACGAATCCCTCGTATATATCGAGAGTGAATACTCGTACTCATATTTGAACCAATATCATATATGACAAAGTAGAAGAATCAGAGGGGTATGTATATATTATAAGTAATCCTCTAACTTTCAAGAATCGGAAGTGATAAGCGCCCATATTCGACAAACTGAATCGAATCCATGTACGTTAATGGGGTTCTCAAGCGAGGAAACTAACTAGTATGGAGAGAGCTTCGGGGCATTCGTCAAGCCAAAGATGCGCTATGGGAGCCATTAAAAGCTCGTACGTCCGGTACTCATTGTGACAACAGAACGGGTTCATCGTGGTCCTTTTTTATTTTGCAATTAGTAATTTATTTCCGACTTGACGGCGATATCTATTTATCTGATAGTTTGCTGAATTTACTTAATTTACCCAGTGATTCTGCGTTGTTGAAGTATATTGAAGTGTATGTTGGTATGACTTAGTGAATATTGGCGAAATAAGACCATCCCCTCGCTTCAATGCATTTAGTAGTGCGCGGTCGCAATACTCGGCATTGTCTTGAAGCCACTTCCAATCAAGCTCATCCTAAAAATGTGGAAATAACACATCACAGAAATAAGCAAAGCGTTGAATCGCACCACGCATCACACAAAGAAAACCAAGAAAAATCATTACAGCAGCATATAAAACTGCAAAAGATCAAATGGAGCAGCAGAATAGAGACGTGAAAGAGAAACAGGGCATAGAGAGAAAACGCGGCGGATTCAAAGGGGAAAGAATTCGGCGAGTGGAAAAAGAAGGGAAATGTCAAACAATAGCGCCACCGCCACCGCCATCAACTCACTCTTCAAGCGAAAAGATACCGTCCTCCGACCCAATTAAACTCTCTTCCCTTAACTCCCCCAACTCACTCCCCTTTCCAACAACACCCACGCTAATCATTCCCTATCCTCCTCAGCTCTCGGCGCCTGATGCACAAGTATCAACTGTATCTCTGTCATCTCTCCTCCACCATTCCTTCTTCGATCATAATGTTTGTTGTTTGTTATCCTCATTCAAGTTATTATATGAAGGGTGCGAAGAAGGGTTACGATTAGAGGAAGTTGAATGAGTGGACGACGCAACGCGTAACATCTAGATATCGATAGAGAGCTGCCCCTTCGCGGGGGCTTTGTCGCATCTGCGGATTAGTCTGGCGTAGTCTGAGAGTAAAAACGCCGCATTAGACTTGGTTCACGACAAGTCATGAGGAAACAAGACAAGGTACTTACGCAACCCACAATCATTACGAAGCGTCTTCGTCCTCGTCCTCATCCCATAGCATCCTCCGCCCAGGCTGTCGTATACCTGTCCCATACAGCATACTAACGCTCCTCTTTCCTTGCCTGTCCTTGACTCCGAATCGGGACTGCAGCAGTCTGAGGAGAGACCAAACCAAAGATATCCTCAGCCAACCTAGTGACCATTCTTGCTCTCATTATCATACCTTCTCTCGCCTCACTGGCTCGTTTTTATACTTGTCTTTCTTGTCCAGAATGAGAGGTAGAGTCGGTGTGAATGGAGAGAATTCGTACAGGATTTTGCTGTATTCCACGATCCTAGCGAGTGCGATAGTTGATGGATGCGTTCCTCCATCTCCGATCCCTGTCCTTCCAGCTGAATGCATATCCCCACCCGTCACAGGTCGACGTATTATGCCCATGTCCATACCCAGGTCATACTAACCCAATGACTCCAACTGTAGATGATGCAGGGAAGAAGCGGAGGTCGCACTGAGAGCGGCAGGTGGTTCGTCTGTTGCCACCTTGTGAGTGCTGATGGGCGAGGATTGGAAAGGTTGGAAATTGAACGCTGAGCTTTGAAGGAAAGAATAGATGCGGTTGTTGACTTTGGAGGAAAGGGGCTGTTGATGTTGTTTCTGGGATTGAGGTTGCACGGGTATTGACCCATCGAACCATTCAGCGAATGAGATGGGGTGCCGCTGTGTTGAACTGTAGAGCAGACGGTGCGGCAGACGATTGTGCAGGTGCATCTGGATGCGTGGAAGATTAATAATATCACGACGTCTAGGTCGTCAGGGCGGGTGGAGACGATGGAGCTGACATCGGGTTCCTCTGCTGACGTGAAGACGGGGCATAATACGAAGGCGGGATGATCTTCGTTGGCGTTTCTGTCAGCGTATGATACTGCATCTGCGAGTACCACGCACTGCTCTTGCGATCCTGTGGAGGAGCAGCTGTAGCGTACGCGTGACGTTCATACGCGCGTTCGGGTGTACTAGGATATCCTATCATGGTCGTCCTGTCCTGTCGCAGTGCATGTAAGTAGCCCATACAATATCTATATGGGTTCGTGTTCCTTGTTGTGCGTGCATCATATGCTGACATACGTCCTTTAGTGACGTGTTGGTCGACCGCCGTACTTATGCTGTTCGTTCAGGTGCGGAACCGGCGTACGCAGCGTCGGTGTATGGGGATTTGGGAAACCTATGACGACGAAAGTGCTATTGGCGTGCCACTGTCCATATGGAATCGGTAGGATATCTCGTCATCGTTGAAGAGCCTCTTGATAATTCGTCGCGATTCAATGCTATCCTCGCTCAGAATCATATAGTTCCATCACCTGGCGAGAATGTGCACAGACCGTCTCTCTGATGCTTTTTGGGGGTTCTGTTGAATTGGGTACAAACCTAGGAAGAGGAGGACGAGGAAAAGCCAGTAGTATATAGGTCGTTTGAGCTTGAGATGATCAAACTTCGTTGTCACAATGTGACGTGACCCTCCAAGAGCTTTTCCTTCTCTTTCTGCACCAGTCGTGCTTACACCAATATCGAGAAGCTTGTGCTCGAACGCAGCGCACTTATATTTGCATGTAAGTATTCAGCCTTATCATCCTTACTTCAAATTATCAAACGGTATACTTATTCCAGCTCCTGTCATACATTTATTTCATACAAAATGAGGATTTTATGAAATTCGGGATGGAATCCTGAATCCCATTTGATTTAGATACGAGAAACAACAAAGCTCACAGCCTGCCCGGCATTCTGAAAAATTGTAGTCAGTTTCAGTTTTACTATCATTATTTTGAAGAAACTTACAGCTCCGTGGCCCAAGTGCGCAGCAGTGATCTGACCTCCCAAACAAATAATGTCACCAATGGCATAAATGGTCAATGAACGGCTGTTCAAAACTCCTGGAATTGCCTGGCCCTTATCCGGATCACGGAACATGGCTACTGCGTTGACACGGCTTTGCACAGCGGTGGAAAGCAGAGCAGAGCCTTTGTGGATTAACTGAGTTGACAAGGAAATATTTGGTAAGAGATGTGCTTCATCACGGAATGTCTCAAAGCTTACCTATATACAGATATGACGAGCTTGGTTTTTGGGCAAGCACTCGCTTGAGCTGTGACATCCGCGGCCAAGTTCTTCGAGCTTGTTGCATCTCCGCCTGCCTCAGAGTCGTTGATATCTGCAGCATAAGTGACGCCAATAAAATTGACCGAATTTCCCGACAATGCTGTTTGAAGTGCTACTTTGAATGGTGGGCCAACGATAGATCCAATGGGTGCTGCTTCCAAGGTACCACGAGCGAAGACAACTGTCACATCGGGTCAGCCTGGTTGCGCGTGCTACTGGAGCGGCAGTAGCCTGAGCGATGAGTGCGAATACAGGAAGAGTGACGTAGTTGAACATAGCAGGTATTGTTCGAGGTTATTGGAATGAGTGTAAGCTACTGAATCGACACACTCTTTTATAGACGAAAGCCATCCTCCAATTTAGCATCGGAAACAATCGCAGGATTACGTCCCATGAATTTGTCGAAAGAATATTTCCGCGTATTTTATGGATTCAATTGCTACCCGATTGAAAGTTAATGGATTGGACTTATTGCAGGCTATACTAACCCGCTTAAAGGACAAGTATCAACGATTAAATCCCATTGCCAAGGCATACTCTCCTCAATTTGACTCTCATACTTTTTTTGTTAGGAGATTGGTGACTTAAAAATCGTTTATTTCCCTCAAGGTAAGAGTTCTATTATAATGTATTTTAGCCAAGCCAAGGCCTTCTAACGAATTTTCATGGTTAGATTCGTTTATTGTCAAGCTTGCAAAGAGACTTTTATCGTATAGTTTGAGCCATTCACCGTCATTGGTGCCGATACATAGGTCTTCTGACACAGGTTTATGTGCGTGATTTTGGTCCCTTTGCTCTGAAGCTGTTGATTATGTTGTACAATGTTCCTCAGAGAGCGAGGGTGGTGGTGACGCGGTTGGTATATCAGTAGCAATTGCTACCGCCAGATTTTCCAGAAAATAATTGCCATTATGTCCTCGAAAGATATCCCTACAGACCACACGGATACAGGTTCGATTTTTGACATCTAAATCCGATCGTCGGATACGTGGTACTATCAGAAGTTCGATATTTCTATTCAATTTATAAGCTTTCTGTGAGTACGATACACATTCAAATATGATTTTTCACTTAATTGCTGGTGGAAAGTGATGCGACTTTACATTGATCATACTAGTGGAGCCAATCCCCGTCATAGCCCAACGGTTAATTAATTTATACCCCCGGATTTTGTGGGGTCTCCGCAATCAAAATCAGTGTTCTCTGCTGTTCTCTGTTCTTAGCGAACATCAGAAGTAAGTCCTTAGAGCTTCCTAGTCACCGTTAGATCCGATCAAGCCCTGCCCAGGCTACTCT